CCTTGCCCTAAAGTTTGGCACGTTACTTCTGGGACACCCTGTATACCAATCGATTTCTTTTTTCGCCGAGAATTAAATTTGAAAGTGAATTTTTACTTGTAATTTGTATGCAGCATTAAAAAAAAGTAACAATTATTTTTTATTTTTATTTTATAAACCCAAAATAACAATTATTTTAAATTTTTATCTAAATAGTGTGCAAATAACAGTTATTTTTGGATATTTATATAATATGTCTTTGATAACAGTTATTGAAGACTTTTATTTATAACAGTCATCAATAAAACTCAGTTAGCGACTTTTAATTTTTAAGTCATACGTATAAAAGTCATTACCATTTTTCGCAGTTAAGAAGGTGTTGGAGAACCAAAGTTTACTACCACTTATACAATTGCCAATTATGTATAAGTATGATTTTAAAAATAAGTCAGTGACTGATTTATATTGTTTTATATTATTTTATAAATAAAAGCCCTTATAAATGAAAGTCTTCAATAACTGTTATCTAAGATATATAATTTAAAAATAAAAAAAATACTGTTTTTTTTGCATGTTATTTAGATAAAAATAAAAAATAATTGTTTGCGATTTTTTTTTAAGTTGTAACTGTTACGATTCCTGGTTATAAAATACCAGTTTGTAAATTTTCAAAGTTAAATACGCATCATATTTTTACTTTTTTTAGACTTATGAAGAGAAATATTCTTATTCGTTTGAAAATATTAATTTTTAATGATTTTATAGCAATTCTCCCAAAAAATTTAAAACCTATAGAAAACTTTATAGCCCAGCCGCCACAGTTAAATACATATTTACCGATTTCAAAATTTCAAAATACGGTTCACCTTGTTTTCGATACTCTTCAGTTCTGAGGGGGCTGCAAAAAAACTTTGGACCACCCTAATGTACCCACATAAGTATAGTGGTGCAGTATATTTTACTAATGTAAATATTCAACCCACCCACCTTTCAATGGTTGCCATGCCTTGTGCATTATCACAAGTAAATTGTGCACAATCCATTACCGGATGCTTGACACTTTGTCCTGGCGCTAGCACCTTATCTTTGACGACACACTTGCCTGGATGTGCTAAAAATTTAAATAAACAAATATTTTATTACTTATTCAAATTTCGAGTCACTTTTATTTCCAATCGCTTATGCACCTGGATCTTTAAAGTAACGCTCTGTATAAACACCAGCTTTAGTTAAGCTTATAAAGCATAAGCAAATAATTAAAATCTTATTGAACATCTTGTCACTTGTGCTACTCAAATTCAACTGACTCGTAAAAGCTGTGTTTTATAATTTCGATTATTTTTTATTTTCAATATATTTGGGTCGCAAAGGTTATCATCGCCTAACAGATTTTTCAAGTTCGCGAATCGATGGGTTGTCAGCTGTTGACATAAATGATAAGAAGATAGTTTACACATTTTTATACTTATGCTTCAAACAGATGTTATAGACGGTAAATGTGTGCAAAAAATAAATAAAATATATACAATTTTCATGTGTGTGGGCATGTATATCAATTTGAGAGTTATTGCAACCTTTGACCTTTTGAGAAAAATAACTTGCCGAATTCAAATATGATTGCCGTTCGCTCAGATCGACGTTAATTTTAATAGAGAAGGGTCATTGTCTGGTGAAATTAATCAAAAAAATGTATCCTTGTTAATAAGCTAGAGCGCATGCAAACGACGGTCGTTGTTGGAATCCGGATCAGCGCTTGTCATTGCGGGTAAAGTTGCTGCAGTTTACTCCGCTTTTTAGTTTTCTCCTCCCAATTGGCGTACGATCACGTGGAAATTCTTGAGAACCTCATTTTCTTATTGGAAAGAAAAGATCGAAGCGTTTCGTGGCTGGCTCCAGAAGGATCCTTTTCTACACATGTCCCGCCAAGCTGTGAATGGGAGATTAAATATATTCACGGATGGATCGAAGCTAGACGACAGAGCTGAAGGAGATGTATTCAGTGAGGAATTGTGGGTAAAGTTCAAACAACTCGGCTCGGTGTATTCTAAGCAATTCTCTAAATTGAACATCAGCCGCCTGCGGAACTTTATTTTAAGCACCTAGCGCTTTTTCTTACTTCATACGGATTACCTGCAGTTATGGTTCCAGGAAGCTACAATGTGTCAACACAATGGACAACTTCATTGATGTTCAGGTGAGCCCCTTACCTAAATTTGTCGAGTTAAATTCAGGTTTTCAGGGTAAATCGTTTTTGGTTTGCGCGGTCATAATGTGAAAAATATATTTCTAAATGTAGGTACAGTTCACACGCTTATGAGCTGATTGCGGCTATCAAGCCATTTTTTTCGGCTATGAGAAGAAAATCTATTACCTTACTGCAACACAAATACTTCTAACAATATACTAAGTCGAATTGAGAAGTGTGACAAGTAATTATCCTAAAATACATGTACATATTTGCTTAAATTTGTAAGTACACTCATATATTAATGTGCTTTGATATATGTATACAGAAAACCGTCCGTGTGATGGCAGCCAAGCGTACAAAACTTCCGCTCTATTTACATCTGAATATTAAAAAAATTTTAAAAGACCAAAAGCTTACCAACCATTCTGTTTAAAATACTTTATACATGCGTACAGCAAAATGTGATTTACGAGTAAATAATTAGAAAAGAAAGCTACAACAGAGAACAAAACAAAAATATTTTGTACATAGACTTTTACATAGACACTTGCTGACATAAGGTGGCAAGAATGTAAATAGGGAAAAGACATTTTAGCAAGTTATGGCTATCTTTATTTGTTTAAAAAATTTTTAAGGAAAGTACATATAGCCTACTATATAAAACAACCAAGTTAATTAAAATTTCAAACTTTGTAGAACATTAAAAAAAAATCTACGAATTTGCTGTTGTTAATGTATGCAGTTTTGTTGGCCATTAAGTTGTATTATAATAAAGTCCAAGTTTGAAGTGCATAGCTAGGGACTTACCGTTGATTTTTGAAAATTTGTTGTTCGCGCATTTTCCTGCATAGAAAGCATTGTTGGCAAAATGTTAATCTGACTAACGATTAAAATTTTAATCACGATTAACGATCAAAATTGATAAATCTTTATCATCTGTGCGAATAATGATTAAATTTGTTTAAACGTTAATTGTCGGTTGCGGGTACGGTTAATTAATTTTAATCATTATTCGGTAATCGAATAACAAATCCATTTAGGTCTAGTGTGTCCGAATTTGAAATCAAACACCCGTTTCAGTGATTCTTTTAAGTTTCATTATTATATATAAACTGTGCATTTTTACAACCCATCGCACTTGTGCAGAGGGATGTTAAAATCTAGTTTGCATAGCGTAAGTTGATGGTAATAAATCACAATAAAAAAGCCCATCGAATTGCTTGGATTGACGAGGAAAACCGACTAAGCCATACCCGATTAACTGACCTTGTGTCTACAGAACCCTTCTCGCATAAATTAATGAATAATCATATTATGATTTATTGATTAAAATTTAAATTTTTAATAGCGATCACGATTAACTGTTTACTCAGATTTAAGTAAATCATGATTAACTCTACTCGGATTGAATTTAATCGAATGAAGTAAGTAATTAAACGTTCAATCGACTAGTGCCAACACTGGTAAAAAGTATGTTCCGATTTTTTTTTTCTACGGAGAAAATGAGCAACACCTTCCGCAAAAAAAAACAACAAAATTTGCACTTTGTTTACTAAAATTGAATGGACAACAAACTGTATACTCAGAATGTTTCTAGGACACCTAATTGAAAAGCTTAAAATTTTGATGAAACTTTGTCGAATTTTGCTAATTTTTCACTTTCATAAACAAATAATAAACATTAAATAAACGAAAGGCAAATAGCCAAATAATGCTAAAATATCCCTTCCCTATTTATATTTTCGCCACTGCGCATATATACATAGATACGTACAGCTATGGTCAAAGATTTAGTACCAAAATTAAAAATGATATTGTTTGCAACTTATGTTTAATGATTTTCATTTGAAATATTATTCAATCTATAACAGAAACCTCATAAATAAAATTTCAATGCTTTCACAAATTTCCCCAAAAAAAATCAGTCTTTAAAAAAAAATTTCCTGAATATTTTTTCGAGGGTGTTGCGCATAGTTTTAATAAATCTATTTTTGTATAGAAGAAAATGCGCAGCACTCTCGACCAAAAAACAAAAAAAAATTCTCAAAAATTAACGGTAATCTTGAAACATGCACTTCGTTAGACTAAAATTGAATGGGCCAAAACACTGCATACTCAAAAATTTTCTAAAAATTCGGGTTGAAAAGTTTGAAATTTCGATGAAAATTTTTCGAAGTTTGATAAATTTTTATGAAATTTGTGCAAGCTTTAAAACTTTTAATTATATGTTTTTTTTTTTTAAATTATATAATTAATGCAAATTATTAAAAATAAATGAACAAACATACATAAGTTGCAAACATTATCATTTTAAATTTGGGTACTAAATCTTTGACCATACCTGTATGTACTACCAATAGCATATGCATTTATGTATACTATATATATGTATGTATCTCCAAAGAACGATACGCCTGATTGAATTGGTCAATTTAATCGTGTGCCATCAACATTCACCCACACTTCCTCTTACGGTATCTCTCTCACCTAGTAACAGTAATTAATCGTTTCACCTCAGCACTGCATCAAAAACAGCGAATGCACTCATTGAACTCTGCTGCAATGGCTCGGAATGCAGGGGACACACAACCAGGCAGCCGTGTCGGCATCGAGGAGGCCTGTTTTGTGAATACACAGCATTTAACCCATTTGACAATTCATTGACTCGCTGTCACACGCTTGCTGTCGCTTCTGTTTAGTTTGCTCAGCGCAAATAGAAATGCGTAAAAAGTCGCCATACCCCCGCACACCTCTCTAACATTTTCCCCCCATCACTTTATTCTTTACTCATTGCGCTCCATAAATACATATTTGTCTTTCTATTGTTTTTCGCTTGTTTTTTTTTCTCTATGAGTAACTTCAGTTGTGGGTGATTTTATTTGTTAAAAAGTATTTGTATGTATGTATTTGTGTACTCCTATGCATGTATGTATGTGTTTGTTTGCTTGTTGACTCAGTGCATTGTGCGGCATTTTTATTTTTTTTTTTGTTGTGTTGTGTTTTGCTTCAATGCCATTTTCTAAATTTTCCATTTATTTAAT